ATATATATATATATATATATATATATATATATATATATATATATATATATATATATATATATATATATTCAACATTGAGAGTTTAAAGATTCATAATTAAAGATCAAAACAGTATAAATGTTCAGGATGCAGGCACTGATTCTTTTACCTTACACCTGACTAATGGCGCTTTCGTAGTCGGTCGATGTTAAACGAGAAGTTACGAACAAGTAGTTGTCGCTGGGAAAAGTCAAGAAGTTGTCCTACATTTGACGACGTGCGATTTTGAAATCCGTCTTCGAAAGTCACCAAGACTTCCTTCTGGCCCGCAATGCACGCCATTGAAATCGAAAGTCACGTATCGTCGTGCGTTTCTTCATTTCAAGCAGCCATTTCGTTATCACGCGAAACTCGTGATTATTACGTAATGTATTTCTCACACGGACGAATGTGAATCGTGTTACGTTTTTTCATATAGCCATTGAAACGCGCGTTCGATGTGTTACATCGCGCCGTTGGCATCGCGCCGGTGATCTTTCAACTAACAACGACCGGATAAAAGACGATACGATATCGCAACGTGACAAAAATTCATCAATTACGAGGCACTTGTCGGCTCTAGAGTATCGATTGGAGATCGGTTTATCGGTCAAATTGACCATCTTAATGTTTATGCCGGTGCTGACGCGGTATACCAGACTTCCTGTATTAGTAGCACACATACACATAAGCACATACGGTGCACGCACACACATACACGTGAGAAAGTGCAAGTTTGACGATAATTGACGATTTCTCCGTTGTGTAGCGAGAAACGAGGCTAAGGTCGATCTGTTATCGAATCGGCGACAACTCGTCATCCGGTTACTTTCATTTCTAATTTCCCTCCGCATTTCGTAATCTTTTATCTAATGATACGCGAAGTGTAGTAGAAGGTGTAAACTCCTCGTAAGCACACACAGGTCGAATTGAAATCATCTTCGCAGTCAAACGCAGAACCCGCTTTACGATTCTGCTCTTAGAGAAAAAGAAGTGGTTGAGACGTGTTATTAAAATCATAGTTACTTGCGGTTCCGACTACTTCTTGTTTTAACAAAAAGTCGTAATAGCAATATGCACACTCTCTACAATACAATTATATTCTTATCTTTGTATCATCGTATTCTTCATTGAAATGCTATATTTATAACTGATGATTATAACGGTTATAAGTACACAGTAGTGCAATCAGAAAAATCTTATACTGAGCTAATCAGCTAATAGTAGCTATTGTTCCCATAATACAATTTACAAACATAGGCAATATTATCGCACACAAGGTGCATGGAAGTCGTTAATTTCATTACCACGAACGCAGCAAGTTAGATTTCATAGAGCATATAACAAAGAGGGAGACCAAATGCCTATAGGCAATGTGCCCCATTCCGAGGCAGTGAAATCAATAAATGAAATGGATACCATTTAAAGATCTTGACGAGCTAAAAATTTTGGTACCTATCTCAAGTTGGTCCGATTTTTTGTCCCAGAAATACAGCGTTCCAAAAATCTGATTTCCGTTTTTAATTTATAGAAAATGTTAGCGTTGGAATTTCGGAACGATCAAGGGCGCGTTGAAAAGCTGAGAGTGCCTACTTTTCAGAAAAAAATATGTCATTCTGATAAAGTGCCAAATAGCCGGATATCCAAATGTTCCAATTGGAATTTTGGTCAGTTTTGAGCTCTAAAACCATCATCAATCGAAAATTTGGTACTTTATCAAAATAATATATTTTTTCCTGAAAAGTAGGCACTCTCAGTTTTCCAACGCACCTTGATTGTTCCGAAATTCCAACGCTAATATTTTATATAAATTAAAAACGGAAATCAGATTTTTGGAACGCTGTATTTCTGGAACGAAAAATCGGATCAATTTGAAATAGGTACAAAAATTTTCAACTCGTTGAGATCTTTAAAACGAGATCTTTACTCATTTCATCTATTGATTTTATTGCCTCAGAATGAGGCATATTTTGGCCGCCCTCTTTGTGTATTACACGAAAGAAAAGATTTGGTTGTGGATTAACCAAAATATCTGACGAAATCTGAACAAAATTTCGATCAAAGTTATCGAAATTCTATTCAAATTAACAAGAGTTTAGTTAGATTAACCAGAAATTTTGTTAACTTGAACAGAATTCTGACAACTTCAACCGAAGTTTCTAGCTCGTTCATGTTTTTCATTAGAAAATCCAACTAAATTTTCCTCTTTTCGTGTACAAATTTTGTAGGGAAATCTTGTCACTAATGGAAATCAGTGACACATAAGACGGGGTACAGTAAAATGTACCACTGAAAATAAACGAATATCTGTTGATTGTCCGTAAAATATCTCTTTTACTACTTCAGAGACAATCTTACTGATTCACCTTGAGAAACAGTGTAAG